CTTTTCGCGGGTTGAGCAGCTCCAAAAAAGCGACTAGCACAAGGCAAAACACACATACCCCAACCAAAAGAAACCGCACACCACGTGAACCATTATCATGAGCCCTGGCCTGTTGCGAACCAAGCGAATTGCGAACCGGATCGACGAACCGCACAAATGAAACCGAACCGCTGAACCGAACCGTGCCCTATGACTCTATGACCTTATGAACCCGGACCCGAACTGAAGCGACTGCTTCCTGACAATGGCAACAACGACAACGACGACGACGAAACAACACTGCCCATGACAACGGCGACATACAGACCAACGAGGACGATGATGGAAGACGACGAGGACAGCAGTGCGAACCACGACCAGGAACGAGACGAGATAACCCACGACCACCCCGACAACCGACGACGACCGACCACGCCTGAATGATAACCAGCGACGACCACCGAGATGAATACGTTCGCGAACGACAGCGACGACAATGATGGTGGACGACCGATGACTACCGGGTACCGACGGCGACCACGACGAAGGACCACGGCCGACAGACAGACGCAAGAACACGGCGACAGCAACGAACGACGACCAGCAAGACGAAATGAGAATCGACGGCGTCGGCGGAGATGACAGCTGCGCAGCAGCGAAAGCAACGGCAGCAGCAGGAGCAGCAGCAACGGCAACAGCAACAGCGACAGCGGAAACGACAACAGCAGCAGCAACAACAGCAACAACACCAGCAGCAGCAGCAGGAACAAGAAGCAGAACCAGAAGAAGAAGCACCAACAAACAGCAACGAACCCTGTCCAACAACAACAACAACAACAACAACAACAACAACAACAACAACAACAACAACAACAACAACAACAACAACAACAACAACAACAACAACACCAGCAGCAGCAGCAGCAACAACAGCAGCAGCAGCAGCAGCAGCAACAACAACAACAACAACAACAACAACAACAACAACAACAACAACAACAACAACAACAACAACAACAACAACAACAACAACAACAACAACACCAGCAGCAGCAGCAACAACAACAACAACCACAACCACAACAACGACAACAACGACAACAGCGACAACAACGACAACAACAACGACCAACAACAACGACCAACAACAACAACAACAACAACAACAACAACAACAACAACAACAACAACAACAACAACAACAACAACAACAACAACAACAACAACAACAACAACAACAACAACAACAACAACAACAACAACAAAACAACAACAACAACAACAACAACAACAACAACAACAACAACAACAACAACAACAACAACAACAACAACAACCACCACCACCACAACCACAACCACAACCACAACCACAACCACAACCACAACCACAACCACAACCACAACCACAACCACAACCACGACAACAACAACGACAACAACAACGACAACAACAACGACCAACAACAACAACAACAACAACAGCAGCAGCAACAGCAACAGCAACAGCAAAACAGGGCAACAAACCGCAACGTACATCCACAAACAACAGCAACAAACCGCAACGTACATTCACAAACAACAACAGGCAATGATCCCAGACTGTCCGAGGCCAGAACAACCGCTGCGGCCTGAACTCGATCTCAACAACAGCGGCAGCAACCACAACAGCCAGCGCATCGCCGTCAGCATCACCACCACCACCACCACCACCATCATCATCATCCACGCCGCCACCCCACCTGCATCTTTATCAGGAGCGGCGGCATTTCAACCATCGATGTCATTCCAGAAAGACCACGACCACCACCACCACCATCACTACCACCACCACCGCCACCACCACCAAAAACAACACCCATGAACTTAACGTCTGCATGTTCTTGCTGTCACCATCATCGTTACTGACCGTGGCTGCACTGCTGCAGCAGCATCCAGTAGAAAGCATCACGGTGCAATGCTGTTGCGGGTGGAGTGGCCTTTCTCTGCGTCCAGCCCCGCACGTAAAGCGAGCTCAGGCGTCTCGCCTTTTGTACATCTTTCGCATCGTGTTCCTGCGAGCGAATGCATTCAGACTCTCGAGACCGGCTTGACTCACAGTTTGTTTTTCAAAGGCCAACTGCAACAACCAACCATGCAATCCTGAAATCACCAACTGCCCTCTGTCGGGTAACCCTTCTGAAAATCAGCAAGGCGCATCCAGGCATGGGCTTTTCGGCACGGTCTGAAAGGGCACTCAAGACGCAAGTGTCCTGAAGGACCATCCTCTTCATGCTGCTCGACGGCGAGGGCAACTCATTTGCAGCGTCCCTCTTCGGTGCCTCGAAGCCCTCGATCGTGAGCAAGTGCAATTGCTCCCCTGAGGCACCACCCTGATGCAAGCGAGGCTTGGGTTTGGGTCTGTCAAGATAAAAGGACTGGCTCATAGCCTTCGCCTTAGGCGATCGCTTTGTCCTTCCAGAGGGTGACAGGGGAGAGTCTGGTGACAAGTCGAGGGCATCCTCGTCATCATTGGGAGCGGTCGGAGCGGTCGCGCGATTACGCGCCGAGGGGAAAATTGGCGGCACAGGCATGGTCTTCAAGCTCTCGGGCAAAAATCGGAATCTTCCGGCGGTCCGTGCTGGAGAGAAGGTTCGTCTTGGGCTTTGGCTTTGGCCGCTTTGGCCGCTTTGGCCTTGTCCTTCGGAATGAGAGACCAGCTCCCCCAGGCTGGAGGGCGGTTGCAGGGCTGCGGGCACGGGCCTTCGCGCGTCCTCGGCTGTGACGGAGGCTCTGCGACTCTGTCTTTGAGCTGCCGTGCCGGGCGCCACTTCTGCGCTGAATTGTGCTGCAAAACTTCAGAACGTGTCCAAAGGACCTCAATGAAACCTTTCTGCCGGGTGTCTCGATTCGTGGGGCTGGCCTGGCTCTCAACGAGGGCGTCATTACTGCGCTGCCGGAGCTTGGCTGACCTGAGATTTCTTTGGTTTTGGTCCACGACAAAATTTAACCGCAATCTGCCAGCCCTGCGTGAGGGTAGATGTCAAGAAGATACAATTCTTGGGAGCACCTCGGTGGCATGAAGCTTCATCAAGCAATTCTGTGTCCCAGCTGCTCGAAGCCATCTGTGAGATAGGCTCGTGTTGGCTTCGGGCCCCTTCGAGGCAAGCCTGAAGTCACACATGCTTTTTGGCATGCGCAGGAGCAGCAACAGCATCAGCACCAGCATAGCAGTAGCAGTCAGTAGTATTCAAGTCGCAGGAATACTGACTGGTGGCTGGTGGCTCTGGTGGCTCTGGTAACTCTGGTGGGTGCAAGAGGAGTCACAATCACAGCTAGAACCAGCGCAGAGTCGTCCCAGTGAGAGCAGTTTCATCATCGTCGCAGTATAAGCACAAGATCAAAAGGTCCGCTACAAGCCAATCCAAGGCATCGTTCTGATCAGCTCGCACTCGCCGACAAGCACAAGAACAAGCAAGAGGAGGAGGAGGAGGAGGAGGAGGAGGAGGAGGAGGAGGAGGAGGAGGGAGGATGAAGAGCAGCACTAGCCACCTGAAGCGCTGTGCAATTGCGGTGCATGGGTCCACCTAGCTTCAAGCAGGTGGAAACAAGCACGACGCGAAGTTCTGCGCATGAAGAAGAGTCTTACTGAGCTTGCGTTCGAAGTAGCTGACCGATCGACAGTCGGAAGACTCCATAGGCAGCGAAGACAATAAAATCAGAAGGACTCTTCTGCACAGTTCCCTCAGCTCGCTGTCCCATGGCCTTCTTGGTCAGCACCAGGCACTATCCTCGACACAGAGAATGCTACGGTCCGTGAGGGCCCTTGCCATCGTGGCTGCAATACCACACGACTTGAACTGCAGCAGCTCCAAATGAGTGCACAAGGAGATGTAGAGTGAATACATGGCCGAGGGACATTGCGAAAGCAGCATCGCTCAAGGTCTTCCCAGGACGCTCCATGGCTGTGTGCAGGTGTCCTGCACGGTCGAAAGCTTGGCAGTTCGCAACGTCTTCGTCTCCATTTCTCATCGGAAGTGTGCCATATGATCCTCGTTTGTTCCCTCCAGTCCTCGAAGCTAGAAGCAAGCGACCATCCCGTCTGCCAGCGCCCGCGAGATCCGCCACCCATTCATGGCGCAAACCGCTTCAATGTCGAAAGCTTGCGGTCTGGATGACTCAAGACTAGACGTCTTGTTAAGTTCCCTGAACTGGTGAGTCAAGTCAAATGTACCCTGCTGGTCGGGCCGCTCGTCTGCGCCTTTGGCGGAGCACGGGACAGCCGCAGCTGCGGACGGGCATCGAAAGCAAATGTCGCCAGAAGGTGCAGAAGTCTAGCTTCTTCGAAGCACGAAATCGCTAACAGCGGCCCAGCTTTGTGCTATGCACGTTTTGGTTCGAAAGCCTGAATATGACGAACCTTCTTGATGACTTTTATGTTGACACCCAAGCTCCATGGGCTGGATACTCGCATGCAGGCTAAACGCGGCTCGCGCAACACTTTGCTGCAGACCAGCTGCCCCGGCAATCATAGGTAAAAGATTGCCCTCACAGTCAGACTAGTCTGACAACTCACCATCACAATCACAACAGGGGTCGTCGTCATCCTCATCATCAACCTCATTATCTGCAGCAGCAGCAGCAGCAGCAGCAACTGCAGCATCACCATCCACAACGGTTTTCACAATGGCAGACATCGGACAAGGAAGGTGAAACTAATTCGCATACTGGGTAAGCTTGCGTAAGCTGCGACAGGTCCCGGGATGCAACAACAGCAACAGCAACGGAAACACCAGCAACGGCAGCAATTAGCAGCAACAACAAAAAAAACAACAAAAAAAATGAATCCTGCTGATTCACACCACCATCTGTCGCACTGTGTCATTATGGCCACCCCCGCACTGCAATCATTGGGCCTCCCCGCCTGAAGCCTCGAGATCAACCGAACCGCAACCGAGAGCCTAGCCGCCCTGGGCCCCCTGGAACCCTTCAACCCCAAACTCAGAATCAAGGAAACAGCTGCGGCTTCGCTGAGGTCAAAGCCCCGATGGCTTCCACGGCCTGCTGATGATCACCTCATCTTCCGCCTGCCAATTTCTTGCGGCACGTCTATCACAAGTTCTGTGTCTGCAGATACACAAATATCCCATACCGACCCGTCTGTCTGTCTATCTGTCGATCTACCTATCTGTGCGTATGTGTAGGTATGTATGTATGTATGTGTGTATGTGTATACACATACATAGGCTTATTACATGTGTGTGCATACAGATAGATAAATAGACGGATACAGTAGATGGATAGATAGATATGAGTATAAGCGCGTATGTGTGTGTATGTATATATATATATAATACACACACATTATGCTGTCCATGCTTGCAAAGCGTCAGGTCGACAATTTATCCAGCAGCCCCACAGTTGGACGCAGCCAGAAAGGGCTTAGTCTGAGCCGCCCGGAAAGAGGGAAGGCCCTGCCTGCCCAGAGATATCTTCTCCTACCAGCTCTTCCAGCTCAAACGGAGGAAGGCCTGATCAGGCCGGGAAAAAACTTGAGTTCTCCACAACTCTTTGTAGCTGGTGGGACAAGATGGGGAAACTACGCCAGCCGTGTCCTGTGGGCGTTCGAAATGGACAGCCTGTCTCAGGGGCGTGAAGCGTCAGCGCTTGCGTGTCTCCTTTGTGCGGGTTCCCTCTGTCCGTGTGTCTCTTCCTTCCTTGCTTCCAACAAGGATGAGTCCAGTCGCCTGGACCCGCAACTAGGACCCCCTTTCCTCTCTGGTTGGAGAGCGAAAAGGGCGTTAGGGTCTTCAGAGAAGGATCCGTGTGTCTTTGCTCTGCTCCGGGCCAAGAGCACGTGTCTCTCTCTCTCTCTCTCTCTCTTCTTCAGCACAGTCGGAAGGAAGCACGAGTTGGTTCGTGCCCCCCTCGCGCGTTTCCGCGCACTGGAGGGATTACAGGAAGGAGTGGATGACCGAGACAGCTTTCGTTCTGATTCACCGGCTTTGCCCCCCAAACCACTAACCTACGACCCCCAACCCGCCTCGTAGGCTAAGTCTCTCTCTCTCTCTCTCTCTCTCTCGCGGTCTTGTTCAGAGGCTCCGACCGGGCGATGCCGACACGGGCGAGGCCGGGATGTGGTCCAGGCTGGCCTGAGAGCAAGGCCTTGGCAAGAGTAGGAGGCTAAGGGCTTAGGATTCCAGGATGCGCATCGCAGCAGTCACTGCAGGAAGTGGCGGAAGAGGAGAGAACGCGCCACGATGGATAGACGTTCCGAGACGAGGCAGCCGGGCCCTCGTGCGATGCAGATACTGGCGATGGAGCCGCAGACCCTCCACGCACCTGGCTCAAGCAACTAGGCTGCAAAGAGTTCAGAACTGAACAGAGGGAGGCAGGGCCGCGGCAATGGTGCGACATAGTTTGGAAAGCTTCGTTGCAAGATGCGGCCTTCGGCGAGGAGCCGGCAGCCGACCTCCAGCCACAACAACTCCGACGGTCAAGCTTCAACACCACTCTAACAGCTCGTAACAGCCGGCCCGAAGGCCTAGAAACCACAAGCCTTGCGAAAAAGCCCAAAGCAACTGGTTCTTCATGGACTCCTCGAGCTGAGGTTCAGGCGTTGGCGACAAGCTTGCGGGGCTCGCAGACTTGCTTCTTGCCTTCGCATTGCCTCAGTCCAGGGCTTTAGTGCAAAGTGCCATGCGATGACGTCGATGCAGTGCGAGTGACCGCGAGTCTATACATGCGGTTGGTGCTCGGCATGGTGGAGTGTGCGCAAGCCTCCTGCACCCGTTCGCCGTTTGGCGGTGGAGCACAGCCTACATCCTAATTAAGTGCACCGTGGCGAAGAGAATGAGAAATGTGCTCTGAGGGCCGCATTCTCGCTAGCACTGGGTGGCTGCATCGGGCGGCATCTCCGCAACGCTTTGCACATCACATCTAGGCTGGACATCCTTCTCCACAGGTTGGGGTGGCTTCCACCGCGTCACGGCTAGCAGCCCCAGAGAAAATACCACAACGAAGGCTCCAAGCTGAATGCAGCCCCAGCGCGGGAAACCAAAGATTATGGGTTCCTGTGCGCCAGGCGTGCCGTACCAGGGTGCTGATACCAAAGCAAGACTCAGCATAAGAGCAACGAGCGCCAATCTGGGTTCTCTGGAGGAGGCCATCATGTCACGGATCGCCTTGACATTCAGAAGCTTGCCCTCACTTTCATCAGCCAGGCAGTGCATGCTATGGGAAAGGCCCACCGTAAGAAAGTTCAGGAGAGCCGAGAGACTAATGTCCGGCACATAGCTCCCTAAAGAATCCCCACATATTACAAGAACCAACAGCGACAGAAGGCCAACTACAATTCCCAATGTGATAGATCGTTCCGACACTTCTGTGTAAAGCCCCATGCCAAAAGCCGGCAACAGCTGCATCATCATACCCCCATTGAAACTCTTGATGGCGCCCATTTGTGTACTGGTCAGGTAGTTCCCAAGGAAGAAGGACACCATGCACGCACAGAGGGACGTAACAGTGCCTGCCCTCACTAAATTGTTGCTTGAGAGAGAGGGGAGCAAGGTTTTCGCGAGAATGTCATTCGAGATCACACTTGAAACCCCCATCAGTGCAGAGTCTGCAGTTGACATGATGGCTGCGAGTGCACAGCAGGTCATCACAGACACGAACACGTACTGGAGCACTCCCACCAGCTTCAGTTGCGCCATCACGCTGGAAAAAGCTGTCGCGGTTTGGTCAATGGGAGGCCAGGCCGGGTTATTTGCGGCCTTCACCAGACCAATCACAATGCCAGGTGGCTGTGCTATAAACGGCGCAAGCAGCATCGCCCCAATTACCCAACGCAGATCAGTATCAGCTTTAGCAAGGTATGCACGCTGGAGCATGTGAGGTGTGACCGGTGCCGCCAACATGTTGAAGAGGAAAAAGAGCACATCACAGAAATCGGATCTGCTGGGAAACAAGAAAAAGTCCGGCCTGACGGCGGCAACACAGCCGGATGCTACGCAGTCGCTCCCGACGCACGGTGCCGGTGCAGCATGAGAGCTTGTGGAGTTGGGGTACACATGGTTGAGGTATGCACAATCACCTGGCACCATCTCTGGCAAAAAGCCATATTCGAGCCCCAAAGCAAACGGAGTTACCAGGAACGAGAGCAGCATCACAAGGCACTGAACCACATCTGTGAACACAACACTGTTCATGCCGCCCAACATTTCCAATGTGATGATGATGACGCAGAAGATCAGCATGCAGGGTGTTTTTGGTATAACTTGGAGCGTCATGCCCTCGACCATAGCCGCAAAGGCGACCATCTGCACAGCGATGTACAAAAGCATCGGCACAACGCCACAGGCTGCACAAAGGAGCCTCAAACGCCGGGTGCCGAAGCGATCCGAGATGAAGTCGAAGGGACTGGTGTAGCTCCGCTCGACGGATAAGCGCCGAAGCCTGGGATAGAGCAGCAACATCCCAGCCACGATTACCAAGGTAGCTCCGATCCATCTAAGTGATATGTATCCTCTGTTGAAAGCTTCCTCCGGGATTCCAGTAACGGTATAGCCAGAGTATATGGTGGAGAACGTCGTGAGCATCAATGTGAATTTGCCGAAGGAGCCGCTGAAGTGAGCCTTCACCTTCCCAACCACTGCAGCTTGCTTCTGCTTCCTTCTGTGTGCGAGCTTCGCAATCACCTCACGTCGTCTGCAATTTGCATAAGTTGCATAAGACTACTTTCTGTGGAACAGGCTGGGACTTTAACAGCTAAAGCCTGAAGGAGTCCCAGCTGCAGTCAGCAGTGCGAGGTATAAGCCTACAACGACGTAGAGCACCACATTTCCCTCCTGCGATTCCTCTGCCGCGAACGCCATCTTCTGTGGCGAAGCGAACTGGGGAGCTACGACGGTCAAGCCCCAAGACGAGCCGAGATGTGCAAGATTAAGTTTGGCGCGTGGCCCCGCAAAAACAATATGACTTTCAAAGCGGTGGGAGTTCCGGCTTTATGTGTGAAGAGACCCATCATTGTCCTGACACCTCTCCGGAGTTCTGGAATGCAGAGGCCGTGCCGTTAGCCGCGAAGTGTCATACCCTGGCTGCGTCGAAGCTCAACTGCAAAGCCTCTCTGGCTTTTTGCTGTCAGCAATGAATGTCATGAGTCATATGCAACCCCATGACCACAAGAACATCAATGCCGTTGTCACCACCATCGGCGTGCTAACGAATCAATGTCGTCATGCGTATCATCATCTGTCGTCCTCATCGCCATCACGAGCATCGCCTTTTCTTCTGCGGCCTCTTCTAGTCGCAGTTTTCGTCCTAGTCGCCGCAACAGCCAGTAGTCGTCCTCGTCGCAGTAGCAACAGCAGCAGTAGGTGCAGCCGTGTAGTAGTAGTCGTCGTCGACGTCGAGGTCGTCGTGTTGGTGGTAGTGGTAGAGGTGGTGGTAGTGTTGGTCGTGGTAGGCTGTTGTGGTCGTTGCTAGTGGGGGTAGTGATGGTCGTGGTAGGTTGTTGCGGTCGCTGCTGCTCTTGTGGTCGTTGTTGCTTGTTGAAGCAGCAGCAGCAGCAGTAGCATTAGCAGGAGCATTTGCACGTGCAGCAGGAGAGTCAGCAGCAGCACTATAGCACAGCAGTGGCATATACTGTCTCAGCCCTCAGTAGTAGAGACACTCAAACAAATTGAAGCTGGAGATGTCCTGTGCGTGAAAAAAGGCCGTGCAAGTTTCCATGTGCCCTTACCACTCCGAATACGAAACTCCGATCCTGAAACCCAGAGGCTGATGGAAACACAGGGGTCGCGAGCTTTTCTCAGAGCCGCAATTGGCTTCCGATAGTGTTCCACCAGATTTCCTTCAGCTCCTCCTCGCTGTATGCCGTGCCATTCCCGTAGAAGACATCGTGAAACCAGGGGCCTTCCATGCCCAGCTCCTCGTCTTGAAGAAATCAGCTATGGCTAAACAATAACTCATCTTCAAGATGCCGGATGCGGCCGAAGGCGCGGCGTCTAACCACGTGTTCCAGGGCACATGTGTGTTGGATCGGCCCTGGAAGAGGCCCCAGGTGTACCCCCAGGCGCCCTGACAGAGGGGCTCACCGAGCCGAATCTTGGGGTGTTGCATGGAGGTGAAGCCTACTTGGAGGTTCATGGGTAGTTACAAGTGGGGTTATAAGTTATAAGTCTCCTAATAGGGGTTATAAGTACATTAGTTACCTTACTTCTAACCCGACTTATAACTACCCATGAACCTCCAAGTATGCCAGAGTTTAGTCCACATATCCTTCATAGCACAGGGTTTATAGGGTTTCGACGCTCACTGTCGCAAGTGGAGATCCTGTGGACTATGTGGAGCCTTGCTTGAGTTTACAGGGTTTAGGGGTGTTTCGGCGTCCACAAGTCGGACAATCCGGGATCCAGGCGAGCTTGTCTGAGTAAAACTACTAACTACAAACGGGTCAAGCCGGACACAGGCCTCACAACAGAGCACAACCTTAGGGCATCTAAATCCCCGTAAACTGGCTTCACCCGGGACGTTTTTTGCCCATCGCTTCCCGGGTAACTCCGGAGCCTGCTGACGTAGGACTGGGAGGCTGTTGGTCAGCGTCGAGTTCCGTGGCCGTGCCATGAACTCCTCGCATCGAGAGCTGATCACTTCTGAAAACCCCACAATCGACAGCCTTGGGCTCCGAGTTCTGCTGAGTAGCAGTAACCAGCACCGGCCCCCTTCCTTTGGCCGCCAGCTCGCTGATGTGCTGCTCCAGCTCATCAGGAGAGCAGTAGCCTGATTTTTTGAAGGGCAAATCAGCTGTGAGGCCGCAGGCTGCCACGACCAATGCTTAGACCAGATGCAATGGATTGAGATGATGTCGCTCAGATCTACCATCTCGTTGTTGACTGCGGCCTGGATTGCATGCCATGCGAAGAGCACCCACACTCATAACCTTCTCTCCGTCCTTGTACTCTTTCACGTCCTCGTCGTCTTCGCTGTTCGGGAAATCCCACACTGCCGTGGTGAGCGGCTGCACCGGGTTAACTTCTCTGGCCCATTCAAAGGCCTGCAATCAAGGAGCCGAAAACTCCAGGGAACCTCCCTGCAAGTGGCTAGAACCAGCCTGTCTGACCAAGGGCAAGATGGTGTTGAGCTTGGGACCGTCCAAAAGCCAGTGTTCGGGGTATCTTCCAGCAGCCCATCCGTTGATGGCAGCCAGTCTTGGCAAGATCAAGTGTTCACTCTGTCGCATAGTGGGCTCATTGTAGATATCCCAGATCGCCACACGAGGATCCGTCGCGAAGCGACCAACCACAGCAGTTACGTATTGATGCAAACGGTTCTTTGCCCATGCTTCTCCTTGGCCAAATGCCCTGAGAACGGTGTGAGTCGGACACTGGACCGACGCACTGTTGTGAACCCCGGGTATGTACAGGTCTTCTCCTGGCTCTCCCGAATCTGGTCGCCAGCAGGCATCGAAAAGCACGAGCATGGTCGACATGCCTGAGAAAACAACTCGCCACCGTTTGGGGATTCTGGACTGCTGTGCCTGAATCATATCCCGGGGTCCTTGTCTGCGGAACACATCGAGCAGCTTTGACACGTCGTCGAGGAAATCTGCCCCATCTCTGAAAAAGAGTTCTTCGTGTAGCAAGACACGCAAGGCCGAGAACCCTGCTGCTCCTGGCAAAGCACTAGCGAATGAGACTAAACACATCTCCGAGCATGTCCACGGAAACTAAAGTGCCAAGATGAGTCCAAGCGTCTTGCTACGCGGAGTTCGCGTTCGGCAGCAAGGAGCCTCACGAGAACATGTTGCTTCGGCTGTCTGCTCGCTTTCCGTGTCGTCGCATCCTGAGGTCATGATCAGCCACTCGGTCCCTGGCGTGGTGTCGAACCATCGCGCATCAAACAGGTCGAATGTGTTGGCACAATGCGCCGGGAGGTAGTTTGCCTCGGGTACTGACTGGGACAGCTGGTCTGTCAACACAGCTGCTTTAACGTTACCTGCGCCATCAGCCCTGTCTTCTGATGCTCGCACTTTCGTGATGGGGTGCAGTGCACACTGTTTTGCGCATCCTTGATATGTATATAAGCTGTGTATACCTCTATCTGTTTATCTTTCTATCCAGCTACGAGTATCTACCTATCTTGTGTGCGTGCATGCGAATGCGCGCATGCGTGCACATATGTATGTGGGCATGCATGTACGAAGGTGTGTTTTATCAAGTTCAGGCACCACAGCATGACCTAGACCAACACATATGCACGAATGCGCCCCTGTGTGTGCGCGTTCGGAGAGTATGTATACACAGTACACGCTGTACATGCCTGGGATGTATATAACGTACACACAAACACACACACTCGTAGATAAACAAATCTTTCCTGGGCCTAGGCCTGAAGACGCCATCCTCCTAGTATGATTGACATCTGGAGCACTCCCAGGTGCCAGCTTTCTCGGCGCCCCCACGCTCGGATGCGTTCCGCGCTCCAGCGCCCGGAAACACAGAGACTTGCCAAATGCAGCGACAGCAACCAGCGCATCGGACAGCGGATGCTTGGAACTTTGAACCTCGAGGCCCTTGCGGAGCTGTCAAGTGTCGCATGTTGCGGCAAGCTAAGGTTTGCTGTGGCCTGCGGCTAGCAGCCAGACCTCATCCTATGCTCAGGGACCCTTGCCACGCCTCTTCCTTGTAGCTTCTAGTTCTCTCGCGTCATTGTCGCTGAAGCCTTTAGATACCTTTAGATTTGATCGCTGGGTATTCAAGTCCACGGCATACACGAAAGCTGCGAAACTCAAGCTCGTGATGGCTCATGCGCGTCCTTGCACCTTGAAGTGCACCAGAAGCTGCGGTGAAAAATGCGGAGCTGAATAGCAGCCTCACTGCGAATGGATGATCTCTGAGCTGCTTGCGGCGTGGCCGCTTCCGCCTGAGTGCTGCGGATGCTTCTGAGGCTTCCCTTCCCAGACTTCCAGACTTCCAGAGCTCAGAGTTTCTGGTGTGCTTGGAGGCTTTGCTGCCGAGAGCTACGGGCAGCTGGGCTACTACCCTTGAGGCGGTTGCGCAAACTGGGCAATTTCATTCAAAGATGGGCCCCACGTGACTTCTGTATTTGGATCACGTGTGACTTCTCGCGAACTCTAGGAACTTGTGCCTTCTTAGCTGGCGAATGTGCACCACATCCATCAAAATGTAGCTTTGTAGATGCTCTTCGCCAATTTGCAGAACCACATACTGTAGAGGGATGGGCAGAAGCAAGTTTCTGTGTAGGCCTGGCCTGCCATGCTTCACCCTCTTCTCGCGCGAACCTGCCGAAGACTGCAGACTCGACGACAAAGGGCCCGGGACAAAGCATGCGAGATCATGCGCGCATGCATGTGGTTCTACCAGCATGGTCAACCCCATGTCATCTCGTGGCATGAGCACGTGTGGCTCCAACACGTCTGACAGGCTCCCTGTCTGCAGTTGAGAGGCTGCTGCCGTGACGCTTGCGCCGCTCCTTTGTCTTTGCACGTCCTGCAAGGACGAAAGTGTTTCGATGTGCTCCGACTACAGTAGGACCTGGTGACTCGCACGTATCAGCGACGAGTAGGGTTCAGTATGACACCCTTCGTGCCCGCATCAAGCACTCTCAATAGCAGCACCAGGCTGATTATCAGGAAGACATCCACAGGAAGTACTCAAATCGGCATGCCTCCTTTTCTGCTGCGGCTGCGCTTGTCGCTGCCCGAACCCATGCCATGGAGCACTTTTGTCACCCTGTTTCTTCTAAAGATATCAGCGATGTAGTTGGCTGCTACGTTTCGATCCAAGCAGCCTAGGAGCATCCAACAGGACGTAATCAGGCCTGGAGTAGGGAAGCTCATAGCAAGTGCAGATGGCTTTACCCATGTAGCCAGCTCCGGCTTGTTCATGCTGGAAGTCGGACCTTTCCTTACTTTCATGGACGGCAATCGAAGCTGAGCGCCACAAGCTTGCACTTCCGCGAGCAATCCGAGGCCCGTCATGATTCTACTTTGCATCTGCCTGCTATGAAAGCATCTTCTGACTTTTCCTAGAGCTTTTGGCTAGTTCGAAGCGATCTGGCACCGGCCCTGTGGCCGGGATAGCCTGGTGGTTTTCCGGACCTCCAGACCAGAGAAACCACCGAAAGCTCTGGCAAAGGCCAGGTGGGAATCAGGAGACTCAGAGCCCAGAGCCATCGCGGTCTACCGGCACCTGCAGCCAGCAAGACCGCCAGCAGCTCTTCGAGAGAAACTCCGACCAAATGATCTTCGGGGCATTGCTGCACCCGAACTTTGCTTAAAATTTTCTGGGGTTCAGGCTTGGATTGTGGTGAGGTGGGGTGAGGGATTTGGGAGACAAGTGTGACACGGCACCAGCAAGTGCAAGGCCGGTGAAACATTGGAAAATCAAGGCTTCGACTCGGCATAGCCTGCGAGCCCAGCAGATGAATGCAACATAGTGTGTGTGTGTGTGTGTACAGAAGAGAGAGAGAGAGAGAGAGAGAGAGAGAGAGAGAGAGAGAGAGAGAGAGAGAGAGAGGAGAGAGAGACTAAGACTAAGAGAGCAGCAGTGAATCGTGCGAGGAACCCTCGCTGTAAACGCCCAGCTTCTGCATGGACCATAAAGCCTCTCTCAAATCCCACCCTTGCAAGGAGCACAGTTCCGCCTCAGAAGAGCTTGGGCTCGTCCAAGGAAGCCCAGCGACCTGGCGCATCTGCACCAGCTTTCCGAGGCCAAGTGCTTCCAAGCGCAAGCGAAGATTCGCGAGCACGGAGACACGACTTCTGTAGGTACAGGCCCCAGACAACTCCGTAGCACCGAAAACCCAGCATTGGCAATGGGCCGACTTGACTTGGCAGCCCGAGCAAAATTTGGAATGGACAAGCCAGCACCACGCACTCGGCCACGTGGACCCGCTTCCAGGTCCGCCTCGGACCACTTGGAGGCTTGAGAGGTGACGGCACATGGATGTTTTAAACTGGCACCTTCCAGTATAACTTGAAAAAACAATCTGTTTTGACTTCACAGGAGCCAACCCTAAACCTTAACATCCTGGGATAGGGTGACGACGGTGACCATGGAAAGAAAAACGCCTGAAGAAGCTCATGCTCCCGCCCGGCCTTGTGCTCTTGATGCTCCATTTCTGCCTTGACCGCTTCCGCCTCGCACGTTCCAAAAGGGCAGGAATCGATATAGCTTAAAAGAGATGCCCGGGCGACTGCTGGATACCAAGCACATACCGCGATCAAGAATCGTACGTCTGGCAATAGCAGTGAATGGGAGTGCTATGACGTGTGGCAGATATCATGGTCACACCACCCTTTGACATAATAATACGTAGTAATCTGAAAACGGCTCGCAAACTAACCGCAATGCCCAAGCAAGTTGCGTGCTTCGATACTTCGAATCATCACCATAACTGTCATAACAGCGATGCATGTCAGGTCGTCAGTCATGCTTCCAACACGGCAATCACATCAGCACCCAGCAGGAAGCTTAGCGGCTAAGCGTTTTGATGACCAACAATAAGATGGCAACATCCGCTGTCTATATCAATAGCAATAGCAGCAATCGCAGCCGTAAAGCTAACCTGCACAAACATGGCAACAATCACAACGACGGTGGCGACCTCGATGATGACCGCCACCAACAACAACACCGCCACCGCCACCGCCACCGCCACCGCCACCACCACCACCACCACCACCCCCACCGCCACCGCCACCGCCACCGCCACCGCCACCGCCACCGCCACCGCCACCGCCACCGCCACCGCCACCGCCACCGCCAGCCACCGCCAACGCCAACGCCAACGCCACCGCCACCGCCACCGCCACCGCCACCGCCACCACCACCGCCACCGCCAAAGCAACCGCCACCGCCACCGCCACCACTGCCACCACCACCACCACCGCCACCGCCACCACCGCCAGCACCGCCGCGGCAAGACCAGCAGCAACAACAGCAACAACAGCTGCAGCAGCAGCAACAACAACAACCACTACGCCGAGGACAGCCACAATGACGACCGCAACAACAGTAAGTAGTTAACAATTATTGCAACCGCAAAGTGATAGTGGTAATGCGAACAACAAACTCATCACAGTAACAACGGCAACTACAGTGGCAGCAATCATCACAACAACATGCCAAGAACAGTGGCCCCGAACAGCAGCACCAGCCGAAAAAAAGGGCTGTAGACACATTTCAGCACTAACCACATGAGCCCTCAACACGCACGAGAGGAGATTATGAGTTCACCAGTACTACTATATAACCGTTTTATAAATGTCAGATGCGATAGGCGTCCTCCAGTGGAGCAATTCCCAGCTCCAAGGCAAGTTCAACGAACTCCTTTCCACTGGCTTTCGGCAGAGTTTGAGGTCTTTTGGCTGTTAAGACTTGTGGCCACACCCAGTCTCATAACTGCTAAGCCGAGCTAGGGAACTGTGTTCATCGGAGCCTTAGAGCCTAGGGCCCAAAGTCTTAACCGTTGGTTTGGTCTTACGGTGACGGCATGCTCCCTTTTAGATTTTCGCATACTCTTCTTTCCTCCGGCACTGTCATGTGCAGGATCGCAAACAACACGACATCCTCACACCCTCTGTAATCTGTAATTTAGGGGTCTAGCAACCACATCAAGTACCAATGCGAGAACGTCAGAGAGACTACATCTACCCGAGCCATTTGAAATCACTCATGTCGGTATCCACAGCAACATGAGCTTCACATGACACGTGCAATTAAAAGCTTCGAGGCTCGCGCTAGGCATGCATAGGGTTTGGATGCTATGGACAGCTCATGTCCGGGACCCGTGGATTGACGTTGAGAGTAGGGCTTTCACCCCGTCTGCCGTTTTTTGTAGCAGGGCACCAGGGCTACCAGGGAAAGTCGGGTCCTCGAAGTCAATTTTGCCGCTGGAGTCCGTGTCGAAGCCTCAATCTGCGGAATTTGTGGCTTTCGGCTCCAAGGTCGGAGACTGGCTGCGGAAACACGTGGCTCCCTCCATGGCAAACAGAAACACTGATCAGTGAAACCCAGGCATCTCAAACCGAAAAAACATCTCCAAAATGCTTGTTTTTCAGACATACCCAGCCGAACTGCCGGTCAGGAAGGCCTGATAGACAAATGCTAGACCAGAATGGCAAACCGGCACAGGGAAGCCTGTGCGACATGCCGGGTTGATTGAGCATACGTTCACTTCACTAGTGGACCCAAGTCACCCGAAACCATGGAATTCTAATTCTTTAGCCCTCATCCAGTTTGAGAAGGGGCTGCAGTGCACTACACCCTGAATTCTCAAGTGTGCTCCTTGTCTGTGGCCATCGAAGATAAGTTGCGGTTGAACATGTCTTGCATGGCCTTCTCGTCGACCTTGTAGTTCCGCCTGTACCTCACAAGCACGCACTCTGATTGAAACATATCGCGCCACACACCCATATTTATAGGTGGTCATGTGTGTATGCATAAGTATATCTATCTATATATATATATATATACATACATACATATTGCCGCACGAATGCAGCGAGAAAGAAACAAATACAAAAAGAAAGAGTGCATGCATGCAGCAGGCATGTAGATATGCATGCATGTGCGTATGCATGCGTGCACGTACGTCTGTACGCTTGCGGTGTTCAATGTGATGCAATCCGCTGCAATGTATGCATGTGCTCCGCTAGGATGTATGTACGTGTGGATGTATGTAGGCATGTACGTGAAGCTTGCGTGACGGAAGCTTGCGTGCATCTCCTTAATTACGTATGCGTGTACATGTGCAATCATACACATGTACACGCATCATCCATCCATCCATCCATCCATCCATGCGTCCGTCCCTCCGCTCATGCAACCATCCATGCATCAATCCATACATGCACATGTGCGTGCAAACTTACATACTTACTGCCCTTTCTTGCTTTCATTGGATTCCCGCATGCATCCATCCAGCCACGCAGGCATTCATCCTTACATACACATATACATTATGCATGCTGCTCGCCTCGCGAAAGATCCCTTGACAAATTTCCATCATTTGCAGCTCAAGGGCTTCCTCGACACCTTCTGCGGCTCCTCAGTACATGTAGCTTTGTGCTCGGATGCTCGAGGAATCTCTAAACTTCTTGGTCATAGCATACCGAAGGTAGCAGACTGCACACTTCATGCACACTGACAATAAGCACTTCGTTGATCTTGACTCGAAGCACTGAGCTTCCGGCTGCTGCAGCTTCCGCTTTTGGCGCAAGCTCTGTCCTCTAAGCCACATATGCGAGTGCAGGTCACTTGTCTGTGTATACACAGGCATAGCCCATACATATATACACACACACAGACAGGCAGACAGACATACATGCATGCATCCATGCATGCATGCGTTCATACACACATACATAAATGCATAAACATATACATATATATATATATATGTACATGAATGAAATGCCATGATATGACATGACATGACATTGCACCCTATGATATCATATGAAATTATGACATATATATTTATACACATGTATGTATGTGTGTATATTATATACATATAGGCATATGGGTCAGAATTTCAACCCATGCAAACATACACATAGACGGATATGTCTGCACGTATAGATATAGGTGCGGAAAGATATCATACTGGACTACTAGTACTAGTACTAGTACTAGTACTAGTACTAGTACTAGTACTAGTACTACTGCTGCTGCTGCTGCGACTCAGTTACTACTCTTCTGCTGCTGCTGCTCCTGCTCCTGCTCCGGCTTGGGCTCCGGCTCCGGCTGCAGCTAGAGCTAGAGCTACAGCTGCTGCCATTGCCACTGCCAGTGCTACTGCTGCTACTACTCCACGTAATAGGCTAATTCTCGTGCGTCGTCGCGCCTCGCGTCCCGCGTCCCGCGTCCTGCGTCCAGCGTCCAGCGTCCCGCGTCCCGCGCGGCTCCGCGGCCAAAAATTCCCATACCCCGTAATACAGCGACCACTGCTACTGCTACTGCTACTGCTACTGCCACTGCGACTGCGACTGCGACTGCGACTGCGACTGCTACTGCTACTGCTACTTCTTCTGCAACTACTACCGCTACCGCTGCTGCTGCTACTGCTGCTGCTATCTCCACTAATTCCAGTGCTTATTCTCCTGCTACGACGACGACTACGCCTACTACTACCACTACCACTGCTACCGCGACCAATACCACTCGCAGCATCTCCACCACCACTACTGCGACCTCATACACTCCAGAGCCACAACTTCTGGATGCTTGGCAGGCTGGAGCTGAGTACAGCGCCCATCTGGCGACACTAGCCGCCTCATCGACAGCGCAGGGTTTCTGAGTCGTTCGGGATATGTAGTTTGAGCCGGCTTGGTGATGCTTGAGTTGCTTGTGCTAGAACCCGAGATCAGAATTTCAGGCTAGCCCGACTTGAAGCCCGGCCTGGATATGTCTTCGGCCACCTGAAGCAGCACGAAGCCCACGAGTGCATCCCCCTCAAACCATCATGCCAGCACCCTGCACTGAAACCTGTGGCCCCGGCAGAATCGACAAACTTTTCTGTAGTCAATCCAGCGGGACCCACCATGTCCCGGGTTCCTGGCAGCTCGAAGCCACATCCGAGGCGGAGTTCTGCGTTCAAAGCACTGCGGGGCCGAGGTTTCTCTGCGTGCTGTTTGTTTGCCATCATCTCCCGGGCGCCCGGTCGCACCTCGCCCGTCACGGAAGGCAGCGTAGACGGCCTCTGGAAGCTTCGCAGATTTTCGTAGCAGTGGGAAGGCGGCAGGCGTGGCTTGTACCGCTGCCCACGAAAGCTCCGAAGTAGGTTGCCCTTGTTGCTCTTGCAATTGCTTGCCTTTGTTGAGGGCATGCTGCATGCTGGTAGGGCAACCCAACGAAGCAATCAGGACCGCTTATTTCACCGCAAATGCTGGCGCTGAGGGGCCAGCCGCTCGCGCACACCCTGTAAATCTTTGGGTCACTTCGAGAATCTTCGGGTCGTTCTCCTGAGGACAGAGCCCACACGGGGATGCAACTCAGCATGTCGGCAGTCACGCATTTTATTCGATGTCTTCTGCAACAAGGCGGTCAAGCCGGGGGCTGGGCCAGGACTGCAGCATGGTCCATCGCCCCGAAGAGGGCGACCACCTCAGGGAGGAAATCAATTCGGTGCCTCCTTGATCGCAGCTTCATGACATGACATGGTTCTGCAAAGGGTTCGCGCCATACCCAGTGGATTCATGGATGTCTCTTCACCACCTCAGCGACTCTCCCCCTGGAAGGCTTCCGACTTTCCGAGAACCCGGAGCATCCCAGAGCTCGGGGCGCAAGTGGGCGTGCCAGAGGTCCGCCACCGTGCCGTGGGAGGCCTCCCGTCCGCATCTCTTATGCATCGGAACATCGCAACTGATCGTATCTTCATATACCATCTTCGTATACATACATGAATGTTGGTTGTTTGAATTTGTTGGGAGTGCGCTTATGGGAGAGAGAGAGAGAGAAGAGAACGAGAGAGGAGCATGTGCGTGTACGTGCGCGTGTGTACACTCTTTCGATCTGGGGTGGCCTCGAACTCCTTAATCAAGGCTCCGTCCTGGCACTCTGATGCCCAGACCAGAGGTAACTCGAGGATTTCTCCACCCAACCTCTCGCTTCCCAATGAGATTCGACGTGATGAAGCCCGGGCTTCGATGCACCTGCGCCACCTCCGCGACCAATTTCAGCTTGGCAGACTTCTTTCTGCGAGGTCTGCACCGAATGTGCCTCGTCTGTGAGCATGTCGCCGTCGTAATTGTGACCTGGTACTGCCGATGCTTTCGGCTCACATGCCGCAGCAATAAATCACACCGCCTGAAAACTCCCTTCGAGAGCTGTCTGACACGGGGCTGAGCGTGTGGCAGGCCATGCCGAACCCGCCGTCGGTCCATCGAATGATCTGCATTGTTGCAGCCTTGGCTGGAAGCAAACGTTTCGATTTGCGTTTTAAAACAGCAGCCGAGCTGGATATGGCACGGTGAGGCGGCACATCTTGGGAGCAGGCATCGCTAATCAGGTGCTGCCTTCGGGTCGGGACAAACTGCTCTAGATGAGCGGTGCCATGTGAACCATACCGGAGTGCTACAGCAACTTCCCGGAAGAGGAATGTTGCAAATTATCGAACCACACTTGGACAAATTGCGACGGTACGTCAGGGTGTTGGGAGCCCGACAGTTCTCCTCCTGTCTTGTCCTTGGCGGCTTTGGCGCTCGATTGTGGGCTCTGAATTCACACAACAGTACCATCTACAAGCCGCAGGTGTGCTCTGACACGTCTGCGACATCAGGCCCAGCAGATTCTCGTGCACTTGATGTCAAGCTCTAGCCGTCAAGCCAACCACGCAAAGGCAATCGTCACCCTGACACACGAGGGCACACGACCGTCCAATGTGCCCGAAAACTTTTAAGTTCATAAGAGGTGTGGGTGATGAAGCAAGAAAACAGCTGCCCACGTAAAAGAAAAACCTTCAGCTCAAGCTCTAAGCGCGCAAGTCTGGGTGTCCGAGCCAAGAGACCGGCGGACAGAAAAGCTGCCTGACATCACATGAGCGATTTCGGTGCTCACGAATTAAAGTGTTCGCTGCTACATGTGCGAGGCGTCAACGAGCTCTGACTACTGACAGATGCGACGCAGGTGAAAGGTCATTGATGGGCCGTAATGCCTCATCGTCATTTCTGCCGCAGCGTCGATTACTTAGTCTTGCAGACCCTACTTGGAGGTTCATGAATAGTTATAAGTAGGGTTATAAGTCCCCTAATAAGGGTTATAAGTATATAGTTACCTTGGCTATAACCCCACTTGTAGCTACCCCCGAACCCGCAAGTGTAGATGGCAGCTTTCCGGGACACTTGCTGGCCTTGTACTCGGAATCGAAGACATCCCGCATGATCTGCCAAAAGCCTTCCTGCCACTTGAAGACCTGAAGAGGTTGAGGCTCTGCAATCCGAAACTCCGGTAGTTCTCTAAGCTGAAGGCCATGGTGCGGTTCAATTTGTATTCTCGAATTACGCCGGTTCCAAGCTACAAGCGATCCAGGCAGAGGCAAAGGGTGTACTTTGGGGACCTACAAAAAGGGCAACAAGGCACTTCGACGGACACAAGCAAATACTTACAGCCCTGAGCCCTAAAGCGGGCGCCAAGACGCATAACCACAAGAAATGTCATCACGTCACACGCTGCTCTTGGGGCCCACACGGTCTTCTTGGTCACGACGTATGGCACTACCTGGCAGACAACCCTGAGGCGCTACCAAGCCTGACAAAAAAAACTGACCCAGAGAGCAAAAACAGGTTTCGGTTGGTGTTTCCACTGGAAAGATGTTTGGATTAATACAGCTGAGCTAACTCTATCCGAAAGCGAGAGACAGCAGCAGAAACCTGTGTTGGCATACTAGACCATCCAATCCACTTGAAATCCGCCGAGAAGAACGCGCTGCGTCGGCCCGCTGATGTCAGCTAAACCATTCAAGACTGGCATACACAGACTGCTGAGTGCTCGTAGCCAAGCGAATTTTCAAAACAAGCAAAGAAACAAGGTAAAAGGGCCATCTGTGTTTTATGCCTGCGCCTTGAAATCTGTCTCGTATGCATCACAACCACAGTCAAATCACGGTGAGGACTTTCCGTCCGATTTTCCCAGTACATGCGCAGTTCTGCATAAGACGATCAAGATTAAGACATGGAAACGTCTGACCCGACAACGCGGTGAATGAGCTTTTTTTGGCACTCGCACTCGGCATAGCAGGCGAGGTGTGGGGTGAACACTGCGTTTCTGTAGAGAGACGGGCGCATTAGCCCAAGTAGACATTAGCTAACCCTCAGCCATTTCTGGCCACAGGTTCTCGGACTTCGACTGCTTTCGATCACTCGCTTACACACTCAAACGGATGCGCACGTCTTCCATGCCAAAGCCATGCCGGCCTCGCCTTTGCTTCCAAACATCTCTGAAAGAAGACGTGGGCGAGGTCCTGGCACGAAAGGGCGTGCTGTCTGTGCACACCGCAAGCTTCAGCGCGATTTTTTGTGGAAGCTGCAAGAAAATCTGGTCATAACTTGCTTGCACGATTTGGAACCTCGACATTGTCCAATGGGTTGTCGTAGACCACGCACACCTCCAGTCACTCTAGTCAGCTCGGACATTGTGATTACAGATGTGCGACACTGCGACAGCTTGCCGCTTGCCGAGTATGCCGCACATGACCACCGGTGCAATCCACAGAGGAAGACCCTGAGGGTGCTGCACTTCGATCATCCTTGAGCTCCCTCCCATCCACAATCGTCGGCTTGGCCTGCGGTGGAGGGGAACTTGGCTCAGAACGTTGATGTGAGGCGGTTGCAAGTGCAGGCGTGACCCCCGGGTCCGGACTGCGTCAGAAATAAAACACCTTGCCTCGTCCATGTTCTCGGGAAAGAAAGTCGTGAGCAGGCGGCCTTTGCCAACCTGCGTGGCAGCGGCATTAACAGGAACCAGAAGCATGACTCATTTGCCACAGCGAAGCCTTCTTCCAGCCGGCACCGTACTCACCGCCGACTGCATGCCGCTCGAAAAGGACGGGACGCTTGAACCCCAGCTCAATGCCGGGAATGTGGATCGTGTCCTGCTGACAGATGTCGACCCGCTTGCAAAATTACCAGATGTTGCAGGAACTTTCGTCTCTTTGACAGCTACCAGTGCCCCTAGCCACACCGCTCTGCATTCTCAGCAGTCCCGCGAGATGGTGATGCCGTTCCATCCTCTTCGCCTGAAACACCCCACTGTCATTCGATACCCCATAGTCTTTCGACAAGAGACAAGGCCAAGCACAGCATTCGTCTTGAATTGTTGCTTGTGATTCGATGTGTCCCTTCTGGAGGTGTGCAAGCCTGCAGAACACCCTTCAAGCCAAAGCCAAAAGTACCAGCAGAGGGACTCTCCTCTGTTGAACTCTATGATGCCTCTTGCCATCACGTGACTTCCGAGTGTAACTTCCAGCTGCAAAACTGGGGCCCGCGGCATGGCACCGTTGGGAGAGCCAAGCGCTCTGCTTAGACCCATTTCTGCCATCCTCAGCGCTGGCATCCGTGCGCTGCAGGCTGTAGTCTTAGAAACGTCAAACCATCAAAGAGACCAAGATTTTCCATGCACGTTGCCCGAAGCTTCGACCGTTCCGGCCGCAAAAGGCGCACGCACGCGCTGCGGCACCTGGACGGCAGTTGCCAGGTCCAGTGCCGGCGGGCTTCTGTAAGGCCTGGCCCCGCTGACTCCGAAATCCGAAGGCCTTTCGCTTTCGTCTTTCGTAAAAAACTTCGGTCAGAAAGGTCCGGGGATCTCGGTGAGCGGGGCGCTTTGCCTTCACCACGGAGGTCTGTGCTCCAGGGTGAACAAAACTGACGGCACAAGGCAGGAAGGGAAGAAAACTTAACATCATCCCAGATGCACTCCAACATCTTGGCAGGCTTGCAGCCTTCGCGTCTTCGCATCTTCCTGCCCGCCACTCAAGCATCAGACGAATTTCATGTTGGCTGCTGCCGTGGGGACAGCTGCTTCATGTGATGCACAAGTCTCTCTGCAAGTCTATATACTGTCTATACTCCACGCATTCTTGAGACTCTCTACGAAGAGGTCATGCTCATGCAATCAAGAGATCAGCTTCACGGGCGCCGAGGCGGAGCGTGCTGCCGACCCGATCTTAGCATTGGCGGCTGCTTTGGCCAGGTCGCCGTTGAGAGTCATGGTGCTGATGGCCACCCAGCTGCCGGAGTAGTAGTCCCGGATGCGCTTGCTGGACAAGAGCCTGCCGGCCGAGTCCAGAAGCTCCTGCTGTCTGCCGCCCTCGAGCTCCGCTGGGCAGACAAGGCTGGCGAAGGTGGGCGCCGCCATGAACATGTTAACCTGCCATCCTGGGTGGATGGTCTCCACCAGGCAAGCGCCATCCACATCCAGGGAAGACGCCCATCGCCCAGAGTTCTCCTTCTTCCCCAAGTGCTTCGCAACCGGACTCAGGAAGTCTGCGGCTGGGCGCGCCTCGGAAGGATACAGCAGGAAGTCCACCACTACTCGCCAGATGGTCCGCGACGCCTCGGCGCCGAACTCCGCACCCGGCGTGCCGCTGCCGCTGAAGCCCGTCTGAGCCCGGAGTCGGCGTCCATCTTCGAAGATCTGAGCCCAGTTCGGGACCAATCCCGTCGAAGGGCACTGCGTGGCCGCAAGCATCTTGTAGCTCGTGGCGATGAGCGTCTCCCAATCTCTTGCAAAGCCATCGCCCTCCGTGGAGGACCCATCGTGAGAGGCCATGTAGTCCCGGCAGAGCCGGTAGACACCGGGCGCGTGGTAGCTGGGGTTCTGCCCTTGCGTTCCCCAGCCGGCCCCAGCAGGAGCCCAACTTCACGATCTGGTGCTGGCCACTTGGGGAGGCCACGGTGGAGCTGAGATAAAACTGCTTGCAGGTGTCGTAGGCCCACTGGCCCACCTCGCCGAGCCAGGCCGGCTCGCGGCTTGTGCCTTCCAGAGCCAACACAGCCAACAACAAGGCGTCGACGTCCCCATCTGGCGCAGCTCCCTTTCCGACGACCTGGGTCAAATCCTCGCCGAACTTCCAATGTGGGAGGCACGGGTATTGGCCACCGCCACACTGGAAACCCTCATCGTCCTGACAGCTGCCTCCCGCTGCGCTCAATTCGCACATGCGACGCCATCCGAGGAAAAGCTCGTAGGTAAGCTCGGAGACGCGGCCAAAATCCGAATCAGAGTCCATGGCAGCCAGCAGCGTCCCTGCAAGGAGGAGGCCATAGCCCTGACTCTCGGCCACGATGCCCCCAGCTGCTCCGCCAGAAGATTGCACTGCGCGAGCCTTGGAGCCTGAAACGGGCTGATTGGTCAGCACCCGAACAAACTCGAAGAGGCGGTCCTTGCTGGAGCCGACTTCTGAAGTGCGGAAGGCACCCGAGGGTCCCGGGCCAGGAGCAGGCACGGGCCGCACCGGGGATGGCGACGGAATCGGAGCTGGAGTTGGGCTTGGGTTGGTGTTGCCGACAATCTCGCACGTCCAAGGCGTTCGGAACGCTGGCGGGTCCCTGGGGTTCACGCTGCCGGGCACGCAACTGCTGCGGCAGGCGGCAAAGAAGGCATCCTTCTCATAGCAGGTCTTGAAGTAGTGTTGAGGACGGCACGATGTCAAAGTCGTAGCCGACCAGACGCCGAGGAACTAGGCCAGGTCCCAACGATGAGCAACAGCGGAGAGGGCCTGCAGCGCCTGCAACTCCCACTCCAAAGCTCGAGCACGTTGGTCGGCACACATCTGTCTTGCAGATCCAGCTGCACGTCGCGAGGCACAGGCCTTGGCCGCACGGTCAGCACGCGCGTTCAGCGCTCGCGCCATCGCCTCACCGCAGGGTGGAGTGCGCCACCGAGGCGGCGCCACCTTACCATGTGAAGGGACCCACCAGAAGCAAAGCTGGATCCGGCCGCACAACAGGGCCTGCAGCTCAACCGCTCTCTGCGCCAGGAGGCGCACCGCGCCACCGCCATGGATCACCGTCAGGGCCGACTGACAGTCCGCCAGCACGTGGACCGTGCCACAGGAGCTCGTCATCGAAAGGGCCTCCAGCAGCGCCAAGAGCCCCTCAATCTCAGAACGATGGGGCGATTGATCCTCCCCTGGAACAAGTCGGCCGCGCCATCACCAGCCAGGACGACCGCCCACGCAGACACCGTAGCAATCGAGCTACCGTCCGTAGCCACGAAGAGTACCGGGTTCGCGGCAAGCTTGGCCTCCAGCTGCTCGGCCATCTCCTCGATGTAGTCGCCTCGAGCAAGGACGATCGGAGCCGAAGGCACCTCAGGCACAGCCCGCGCGATCAACCTCTCCTCCAGACGAGTCGTAGGTGCAGCGACCGAAGTCCTCAAGTCAGCTGTGCGAGAGCACGTCCACAGCAAATGCGGCCGAGACGGGGTGCTCTTACCGCAAAGGCAACGAAGACCCGGCCAATCAGCCCGAGGGAGCTTCTTGCGCTTGTGCCAAAAGGAGCAGCCCGCAACCAGAGCAGTGTGCTTGTCCACCGTGTCCTTCGCCTTGAGCCACGTCCGCTTATGACCCTCGAAGACCGCCAGGGTGCCAGCCGGAGGTCCTGGTAGGTCGAGCCCACAAGCAACGTCATCCTCAGCACCAGCACGGTGAAGCCGCTCGACGACACGTCCACATCGGGCCAAGTGCAACCGCCGATAAGCGTCCTCCAACCACTCAACCAGGACGTCGAAAGAGTCAACACCCAACTCAAAGCGGCGCTCCTGGCCATAGGAGTCCCGGCGGAGGATGTAACGACCACGAGGGTCCCAAGTCCAGCCCAGGCTCGTGAGCACAGCCACCGTGTTCGGCAAAAGCTGCGGCCACCGCTTTGTCGCCAGCCGCAAAGGAGCATCCTCAAGCCAGGACGGGGTGCGGCTCTGATGCCGAACCGCCTCCCTCAAAGCAGCAAGCTCACAAGCGAAGCGAGGATGCAGCTGCCAGCCAGCCACCTCATAGCAAAGGAGCGGCGGGGTGTCGTGGGCAAGGTCCTTGTGGAGAAGATACCGAAAGGCCGCCAGGATCTCATCCATCTCCTGTGAGTTCACCGTCGCAAAGCCACCGGCCCACGTGAGAGCGGGGAGCACCAGCATGCGAAGCATGCGAGCTTTCTTGTCCAGACCCCTCACGGCAACGCCGATGAGGCGAATGCGGCGCTTCACACGCTGAAGGCTGAAGTCCTTAAGTGACGGGCCAGCATGACCATCCACAGGAACCAGCAGCCCAAGCAACGACAAAGTGTCACTGACCTCGTAGCCGAGCTCCACCGCAAAGTCAGCAGCAGCCTGAGACGGATGACAATGAACAAAGCGGCTCTTCGTCGTGTCACAGCGCAGGTCAAAGGCCAAGTCAAACTGGTTGCTGAGTTCCTTGGCCCTTCGGAGCTCAACCAGGTTGGGACACCACAGGAGTCTGTCATCCACAAAGGACATAGAGGAGACCCCAGGGGAGGATCCAGACTCGACCGTCGAAGACCAGATTGCCATCGCAGCCGCCGTCAAAATGGGGCTGAACGGACACCCCTGAGAAAGTCCTCTGTGGATGTCATGCCACCGATCACCCAGCATACCGTCCTTGACGAAAACACGACGATGCTGCAAGTAGTAGCTCTGCACCAGGTGCTGGATTTGCCGTGGACAGCCGAGATGCTGAAGGGTAGCCAGCAAGTCCTGGAGCCGCAGCGAATCGAAGCATTTTGTGACATCCTCTTGCAAGTAGAAACAAGAGCTGCTCAAAGAATCGATCAGCCTCAGGTAGGAGTCCTTAAGGCCCCTGCCAGCCACTCCCCCAAGCACTCGCATCGAGGCCCATCGTTCAACCCAATCGGACATTTGTCGCACCAAGAGGCGTGCTCCGACTCTCCACGCGCAAGAAAGGATGGTCAGAGGCCTATGGCCCTGGGTGGCCTTCTCGATAAGGACGACCCTGCCCTCTCGCCAGCGCTGCGGGACAACGCCTGAGCCCAGGACGCACTGCCAGATCCTCGCGAAAGAACTCCAGAAGGCTCCCGGCAGGAGCACCCAATCCGAGCAAGACCAGTTGTCAGGTCCTGCCGCCTTGTGCAGCATGCTTCTGGCGCTCCGCAGCAGGGCCTCGCCAGTGAACTCAAAGGAAAAGTCGACCTCCTCAAGGCGTGGATGCGTAGCCAAAACCGGGCCAAGGTCACCCGAGGTAGAGCATGTGCCCCAACGCTGCATCCACTCAGCACTAGCCTTGGCAACCTGACGCACAGGATGGACCGCCGCGCGCCTACTGACCGCCTCAGGCTTCAGCACCGGCCTGTTGAGATCACCCCAAACTTTCTCCCGACGCTGGATCCACGAAGACAGCCGAGGCTCCGAAGCATCCAGCCGGTCCCGCCACATGTGGATGGCCTTGCGCTTGGCATCAGCCTCCAATGACCCGATTTTCTCATCGAGCCACTCACACCAGTTTTCAGCCTCAAAAAATGGGACCTCGGCCACCCAAGGAGCTTTGGCATGGAGCGCACACATCTGCTTGCC